GGCAGAACGAAAGAAGGAAACTCCGCTTTTCAGTCGTCTTAGGCTCTTGTTTTTTGACAAACAATGACCTTTCAGAGGTCAAATTGCTGTCAAGAATAGCAATAAGCTTTGCAAAACATTACATTTTTGGAGGGGGATTTTACCTTTGAACACCTTCTGAGGATTACTGGGTTTTTCCACTTAGTTTCACTTGATAAAAAAAATCTTAAAATAAAAGTGCAATGAAAAACAATGTAAGTGATTAACACTCTGCCCGCCAAACACGGAGATCTCCGTGTTTGGTAACGAACGCTTAACCGCCAAACACGGAGATCATTCCGATAGAATTCGATAGATAGTAATTATCGACATGTACTAACAATTTGAACATTATGTTCGGTCTGGACCGTAAGTATTTCACTATTTTAAAGTATCCAAAATGGAAGAAAAAAGACAGAATTCGCGTTGGAGCTAGCGCTGGTTAGCGTAAACCCGTGGCTAGGACCGGAATCTAACTGTAATGCCCTAATTAATCAGATTAATAGAGGGTCATAACGCTGACATATAACAAAGGTAACCATGGCGGCATTTGGAAAGAAGTGTACGTAAAGTTTCTCGTACTTAATTTAGCCTGCCTTGCCATCTAGCATCTGTAGAGTTGCGAAATCTTTAATTGAAATGTCTACAAAACTTTGGTGAGTTGATTCACGCTGTATATTGATTAAAGCCCCATTCCCGGCAAAATTTCACTAAAAACTGACTTTTTTTTAGAAAATATGCATTTGCATTACTCCAATTATTATAAATCATGGAAAAATATTGGCATGAATTTTAGTTTTACGCAAAAGAATAAAAAAAATGAGAAATACAGACTATTTCTCATAAAATATTACCATTTTCTCGACGAAATCATCGTTACTAGGCAAATTCAGAGGTTGTAGATCGCATCCACTGGAATACTCTCGCTTTTATGTATACTTTATACAGTCAATAATGTGCGCCCTCTCTAAAGAGATAGTTTTTGTACTTCGCATCTCGCACAATGCGGTCGTTCGGTTAGGCTGAGATATATTTGTTTAAGTGTCAAAATCTCAGTCAGAATCAGTTTTTTAACAATTTGAAATAATTCTTATGAAATATTATATTTCACAAGTGTCAATACTAGCAACGGAAAATATCATGTCGGCCGTTTTTATGTGTGATAACGGAACCTAAATCGAGGTAAGGCTAGGCCTAGCCTAGCAGCGTTGGATAGGCTACTGTTTTCGGCGCCTACGATATTTCTTCTCACGACCTATCGCAAAATCAAACATGAAAAATTCATCCGCATTTTTTTTTGTGTGGAACACAAAAAAATCAAATTTCCGTCTTATTTTACATTTTTTTTTCATTCTTAGGAATGTCTAAATTCAGTTAAACTAGCAATTCCGTATTATATTTATAAATCTTTATAACATTATACAAAAATTAGATTTTTCTTAAAAACTGAAATTTTGCCGGGAATGGGGCTTTAAACTAAGTTAAGAATGCATAATTTAATGTTAAATAAACCTAGGCAAGCGAACGTATTCTACGCTATCTTTTTATATAGATCTTTTTTATGATTGACATTGATTGTTTGTGATTCGTTGATTAGTTTTATGATAAATCATTTTTAACCAGAGTTTAAAGTAATAATGTTTAGTTTTAAGAATACTCTGATAGATGTAGATTGAGCTATCTCGATCATTTTATATGTTAATCTTTTAAGTATTGAAATACTGTTAGTTTTAATCAAAGATACTAGAAATACAAGATAGAGTTCTCTACACAAAAAAAGTGTTCCACCGTGTTCCACCGAAATGCATGGTGGGAATACGAAAAATGGGACGCCCCCTACAGCTGGATCTAAAAAAACTTGTGCCAAACTTTCGTTACCAAGTCGTCGCGTATTTTATTATCAATTCTCAACAAAGATACTAGATATAAAAACAAACTGGAATAGAATAGACACTCAGACAGTGACATCGGTGAATACATAACCTCCTTGGTGGCGGTAGAAATCGTTGCTATTATCCAAATAATACACAAAACAATTAAAGCATAATCATAAATCAGCAAAGAATAAAACAACAATACAGCGCAGAATCCATGGCCGGACGCACTCTTAGTGAAAAAGTTTTCCTCCATTAGTGGAAAAGGAAGGGCGCCTTTTGCGTCTGGATATACTTAACAACAGAAGGGCGCCCTGTACGTTGGGCACGAAGTATAGGAAACTTGCATGGTCAAAAAGAGGGGCGCCGCCTACGTTGGGCACGACTTCCGCCTCATTTTAACAATGCGAGAACTCTATCTTGTATTTCTAGTATCTTTGGTTTTAATTGATTAAATCGATAAATGGCGATTCTTGCTGTTTGAATGTGAAGGCGTACGCTAACGTCTTCTTTTTCGACGGTTGTCTCGGCAGCCGCGCGTGTACGCACGCATGTTTCCATGGACGTATAGTTGTTTACATTGTATGCCTAGGCTAGGCCTACGCTGGCAACATAAAGCATATTATTGTTATACTAAATTATAGGCAAACTTTAATTTCAAGAGATAAGATTGTCAAGGATGAATGTATTATTAATTTAAAGCTAAAATACTTTTATTCATCATTATTGTATTGCATTATGCTATTTGTATTTTATGGTTATTTCACATTTCAGTGAATCAAGTACTCATACTCGTTGACGTTGTTCTTCACTTATTCGATAGACGTCTCGTCATCGTCCCGTTACTACTGTACTATTGTTATACCATTTTTTCACCGTTTCATTTATCATCCTTTCTACGTTTGAACGATTAAATTTACATAACATCTTATGCTGATTCCATTGGTAGTAATTTTTAATTTGAAGTTGTTTCGCATTCTACACTAACCATGCGGATTTTTGCGAAAGTATGTCATCAGATGATGTTAGATGTATAATTTATGATTTTTAAAATGTCATAAATCTTTAAATAGTGATGTTTTGTTTTAGCTAGGCCTAGACTAGCCTAGCGATACCATGTAGGTTATACTTTGGTTGATGTCTCTTTCGGGCGTCAGTGTTTGTTTATATCGAGCGTAGCAAAATCGCGATTATCTCAGCTTTAGCCTTTATTGGGCAAAATTGCGTAAATCTCTGAAAGTGAGTCATTTTCATTTTATTGTTACGGGTTATAGATTGTGATTAGAATAAAGTGTTTGATACCATTGTGAAGCTAAGATGTTTGTGGTTCTTGTAGTATTAATTACATGTCAATCTGATCACATACGCACTCTCAATCAATGAGCTTCGGAAAAGTGTTAAAATTCGCTAAAAAGTCTGGCGGTGGCTGATAATATTTTTTCAAACCCCTGGCGGTCAGAGTGTTAAAATTGTCTGTTAAGCACAGGGGTGGCGCCAGCAATTCGTAGGCGAGGAAAAAATGTATGTATTTTCTACATATGCCCCCGCGAAAATTTTGTGTTCTAGACCCCAAAAATAACATTTTAGGCGTTCTGGGCTATCATTTTGTTCTTTTCTATCTTTTTTTCTTTATTTTACCTCCGAAGAGGACGGGGGCCACCCCCCCCCCACAAATTCCACCTGATATTAGGCCTATGT